AAGAATTACAGTACTGTAAACCTAATAATAGTTTGAATGGTCAAGATTAATTTATAGTCTGACCACATAAATGTCATGTCATCACTTAATTATATTTATTATTGTTGTTTTAGAAAAGTTGATTTTATTTGTCTCTTGAAAAGTCTTTAGGGGATTTGTATGAGATAAGTCAAAGGAATTAAAGGGCAGGATTGTATTACATCCCTTCAAAATCAAAGGTATTGTACCCTTAACGGATCTTATGCTATTACTTTAATACATATGATTTGGATTCATAATTGAAAATGGCTTTATATATTACGTCAATCATATACTGCATTCATTAAATGTAGGATCGATGTAAATCTAAAATCATTTCAAAATTATATTTTAGATTTGAAAATGAGAAACGGTCTCGTTAATGATTCCCGGCGGAAATAATATAAAATATCCGATTCATATATATTTAACCTTATCCTAACGTGGTATGTCCAACCTCTCTCTATAAATACCCCTTGAACTAACTACCTTCACTCTCATCTCTCTCTCTCTCTCTCTCTCTCTCTCTCTCTCTCTCTCTCTCTCTCAAAAATACACACGTTTTGGTGTGTGTTTTCTTTAAATATGATGACGAGGATTTTGAATAGATTGATTTTGCTATTTGCATTTACAGTGTGTTTATTTCCATTGTTCAATGATCATATCAATGGAGGAAAAGGAGGAGTTATGGCTTTCCACAAGGTTTATATGAACTACCAATCTTTGAATGCGATCAACGTCAAACAAATTTACAGAACTGGATACCACTTTCAACCTAAGCAAAACTGGATTAACGGTACATCTTCTTCTTTTTCATCTTTTATTATTTTTCTTATACAACGCACAGTAAAAAAATAATAATAATAACTACTTATGGACAGAATTGTTCACAATTGTTTATATTTTTTTAAATATAAATCAGACTTTCCAAACAGATGGGATCAATTGGTTGCCAATCTGTCTGTTTTTGCAGTGTTTTATTGTCGAATGTTACCCTTGGATAATATATAGTCAAATGAATCTCTTAACTAAGTGTATGTAGGTATTGGAAGAAATTAAGTTTTGCGGGCGCCAACCATTTGCGAAATTTATCGTAATATTTAATTTATTATAAATAATAAATAATATATAAGTATTATGGAAAAGTTTTTTTAGAAAGAAAATGAACTGCAATTTAAAAAATATATACTATATATCCCCTCGGTGTACCAATTAGAGGTAAATAAAAATCTCCATATATATGGACCAATAAAGGTGTTCATTTCCAATGTTTGAATTCGAGACGTGTCTAGCTAATACTTTTCACCTCTTACCATTATATAATTATGTGGATCGAGATGAAATGATAAGTAATACGTACGTAATACCATATATATGAACAATTGTATTATTAACTATTATTAATATTAAGTATTAACTATTAATGTTAATTTATTATTGATCGTGTAATCATACTTCTATTATAAAATACACGTCAATTTTTGACCCATGCAAACACGCTCGTGCATGTGCTTCAAAACTTCAGAGCTGATTAATATATATACACACACAAACAAAATTGAAGAAAGAATCTTGTAACAAAATAATCATACTTAATATTAATATTCGTGATTTCTTGGCCTTAAGTTATTACAAGTACAATACGTGATGTATTTGTATCACAACTATTTTATAGCTTTTACATTGAAAATATACATTGCTTTGTAGTATTCAATAATTTCTATATAAGACCTACTTTCACTAATTTTAGCCATCAATTTGGGCTCCATCTCAAACAAAAGCTCAATATAATTACTCTTGATATATTAGTTTGAAAGGTCAATAAAATGATCCTATGGAAAATTACGATATATGGGTTAGAATCTGAGATGCTAAGGGCACTTTATATGGTATGATATGCCTCATGACTTTGTGGAAAATTGTAGTGATGGTGACATGTCCTCTTTCAACACGTGAAGTTATCAAAATACATGAGCTCTTTACATATTGGCAATTAATTACCTAATTGCCCCTTACAACAACGTTACATTACTTAATTTTGAAAATTAAGTTAAATAAACTAGAAGGTTTCTATTTTTTTGTTACGATTTGCAAGTTAAGTTTTTGTTTTTATTAATAATTAGTTACCATATATCTATGTCAAATATTCTTATCACTAATTGTGTTTTTTCCTTCTCATGCACGATGCGGATGGACACAAATTAAACCAACGTAGACCCAAATGGTGAGTTTAAGTTCTTAATATTCTTTATCAAAATTAATTTATATATTAGAAACTAAAAATATGTATTATTTTGATATAATAACATAAATTGATACTTAATTTTGTATTCTTTCTCAGCACCCATGTATTACAAGGGATACTATCATCTTTTCTACCAATATAACCCGAAAGGCGCTGTATGGGGCAACATCGTATGGGCCCACTCCGTATCAAAAGACATGATCAACTGGATTCCACTCGATCCAGCAATCGTACCATCGAAACCTTTTGACAAATACGGATGTTGGTCCGGATCCGCCACAATCCTACCCGGAAACAAACCCGTGATTTTGTACACAGGAATTATTGATAAAAAGCCAGCACCAGGTTATCAAGTCCAAAACTACGCCATTCCTGCAAACTATTCAGACCCGTTTCTCCGTGACTGGATCAAACCAGATGATAATCCGATAGTAAAACCCACTTATGAAAACGTCTCATCTTTTCGTGACCCTACAACTGCTTGGTTTAACAATGGTCATTGGAAGATGATTGTAGGTAGCAAACACAAGCATCGAGGGATTGCTTATTTGTATAGGAGTCGGGATTTTGTTAAGTGGACTAAGGCCAAACATACGCTCCATGACAAACCGGGTACGGGTATGTGGGAGTGTCCGGATTTTTTCCCGGTATCAGCATATGGGCAATCCGGGTTGGATACCTCAGTGTTGAAGGGTGGTGTTAAACATGTGTTTAAGGTTAGCCTTGACATGACTAGGTTTGAGTATTACACGATTGGTACATATGACACGATTAAGGATAAATATTACCCGGATAACACTTCTGTTGATGGTTGGGCCGGTTTAAGATATGATTATGGAAATTTTTATGCATCAAAGACATTCTTTGACCCGGTTCAAAACCGGAGGATTCTGTGGGGTTGGGCTAATGAGTCGAGTACGAGTTACGAAGATGTTGCAAAGGGGTGGGCCGGAATTCAGGTAATCAAATTGCTCATATTTATCTTGAATATATATATAATAGAATTTTAATCTTGTGTTATTATTAATATTAAAATAAACTTAATACGTTGGAATTTATATATATTGTGTAGTTGATTCCACGTATGGTATGGCTGGACCCTAGTGGAAAGCAATTGCTACAATGGCCAATTCATGAATTGGAAACACTTCGAGGTGACAACGTGCACTTAAGTGATGTGAAGCTTAACAAGGGCGACGTTGTTGAGGTCAAAGGAATTACTCCTGCTCAGGTTTGTACCTTATGCATTCGTTGTAGTACGTTTATATGATTATATCGACGATTAGATATGACTCATTTATGAGTGTTGATATGATATGATACATGCAGGCGGATGTGGAGGTGATGTTTTCGTTTTCAACCTTGGATGAAGCTGAGAATTTTGATCCGGAATGGTCGAAATTGCCCTCGGAAAATCTTGCTTTGGAGATATGTGGGATCACGGGTACTAAACAAGGAGGGTTAGGGCCATTTGGGCTTTTAACGTTGGCTTCAAACAAGCTTGAAGAATATACCCCCGTATTTTTTAGGGTTTTCAAGACTCTTGACAAGACATATAAAGTTCTCATGTGTTCTGATGCTACAC